GATAGATCCTATTTTTGCTGGTCTTGCTGTATCCTTCTTTTCTCCGAGTTTCATCAGGCATTAGGCAACGGTATCACTAACTCTGAATTCTTCTAATCTCCTGTTCAGTTGATCTTTTCCCAAGGATGTCAATGGACTCCTTAATCTTCCGTTTTATTGTCTTTTCCCGGTATTGGGCCCTTCTTTCCGTTGCCTCTTAATTGATCCCGTATCCATCAGTGCGAAGTGTTCCACTATTTATGATCTTTCGGTATCCATTTTCCTGCAGAGCCTTTGATGTTCTCTGATTCGTGTGCCAATTTTTCTGCCTGTTTCACCAACCTATTTCTATTTGCAGACGCCGTATGCTAAACGGTAAACTTCCGAGCAATCTAAATTGTCCAACCTCTCATTTTTCGTGAGTAAACTTGTAAAGTGTGGTTTTCTATTTCGTGGCCAGCCGAATATTCCATTTTATACTTAGCCTACAGCAAGGTAGACATATCCACTTTTGCTAATCTTTTTCCATCCTTTCTCTTCTTTCATAATCCTCATCCTGCCATTGTCTTTTCACGGCCAGCATATGTTTTTCTATTGCTTCACTTGGGTATCCGTTGCCAGGGCTTTTCCAATTCTTAATCCCACAATTCCACTTCCATTAATCGTAGACTTCTGATGCTCACGCTCCTCACTTTTGCCATCTTTATTCTGTAGTTGTGATGAGACTCGTAATTTTGTATTTTTCTTGGAACAAGTTCCTCTTGAGTATCCCAGTTGAGCGAATGACCTCCACACCCAAGAAAGGTAGACGCTCCTCCTCCTCCTCCTCCTCCTCCTCTTCCTCCCCTTCTTTCATTGTGAACTTGATCCACCACTCCGGTTTGTCAACTTCAGGATCTGCTCCCAGTTTTCTCTTTCCTGCCACCAAAGTACTAAGTAGTCATCCAGACAGCGCATAAGCACTCTCAATTGCAGTGGTGATGTCTTCAAGTTCTCTTACAATCTGTTCATGTGTACGTTTGCGAAAAGAGGTGAAAACGGTGACTCTGTAGAAAGCTCAAATGTCAATGGTAGCTATTGTCGTTGAATTTGAACAAGGTGGTCCTGAGTGTAGAGTTGATTAGTCTCCCTTTTGATACTCTCTGCTTCGAGGGCATCCTCGTCTCGATCCAACATTTCTGCCAGAGTCGTTAGTGCCTTTTCTCCAGAAATGTTCGTGCAATAGATTACACATCAAAACCTACGGCTCGTCTAATTCCATGCTTTTATGAATGCTTCACTGTGTTTGATAATCCATCGTTCATCGTCTTGACTTTCAGACATGTGAACTTTGCTCATTTGTGTGTTGCTCCATACTTGCTGTTGACAGTTCCCGTTGTCGAGTAGCTTCGGTAATCCGTGGGCTGTTGGTGGCCGTGCCTCCTCTCTTTTTTTTAATGAATTCAGCATCATCCGTCGATCACATCTTTCAACATGTTCGTAAGCTTCCAATCCTCTTCATGATTAGCTCCTTCTTTCGTACACGACATGCAGTTCCGTCTCACAGCAGCTATCCCATCTTATCAATGTATTGTCTTTTTGTCCATCACAGTCTCCTTTGTCCGCCTTAAGTACTAATTGCTCATGACGACAATATTCTCGGAATTATTTTCATCTCCATTTTCCGTTTTGTCGTAGGAAACTTGTCGCAGATAGTTATGACCTCCGCCAGACTGTCTTCTGGGAGGTTTGTGTCATTTGAAAGAGAAAAGTGTTGTCCTTTTTTCAGGATCGTCATGGTTTCAGGATCAAGAAGATGCGAGAATCAATTCTTCTTCCTATTCCGATCGTCGAACTGCTTAGTCGTGTCGTCACCTCGAAAACCCCTTCAACCGGGATCACGGATTTCAACCTACATTGCCTTATAATTCCATGCCTGAGCAAGTGATTGTCGTGTTCTTTTGCTATTAAGTCTGAGATCCAAAGTGATTTCTTGTTGACCCTTCTTGTGGACCCTTCGAGTCAGAATCTGTGCCAGATCACGACGGATTTTTGACTTAACATGTATACACTTGAACC